ACCCCCCACCCTTGCCATTAGCTTACTTCTTTGGTTCTGGGCCTCCCTGCAGGTAAGGAAGGTAACACACGACTTACTTTCAGGAGAGAGGGAAGTCAACCACAAGAGCTCACGTGGCATCCCTTCCCTGTCAATCAAAAGAACAGAACTGGCCAGGCATGAAGCACTTGTGGTTTTCTGTTAGGATGTGTGGTTAGGGGAGAGGCTGTGATGGCCTGTGGTTGTCACTGAATTCTTTGAACTGGAAGCATGGGTAAGTAAGAATTAAAAAGAATAGGAGTGAAACCTTGGAACTCTGTGTGTGGAAAAAAAAATTCAGAGAATTAGAAAAAAAACATTGTAGTAGATGTCATCTGTTTTCCATTGGTTTATTATGATTAGTTTTGTAGCATATTTATTGATTCTTTATTTGTAAAAGGGACTTCCCTGCTGGCTCAGATGGTAAAGCGTCTGCCTACAATGCGGGAGACCCGGGTTCAATCCCTGGGTTGGGAGGATCTCCTGGAGAAGGAAATGGCAACCTGCTCCAGTATTCTTGCCTGGAAAATCTAAGAATGAATTTATTGCGAAAACTCAGTTGTATGTGAGGACAGTGTGGATGTGGGAGAGCCTTGAGTAAAATGCATGCGTTCTGTGATCGCTTTGGCCTACTCAGATGCACATCTGTCTAGGGGAGAAGGAACCCAGACCAGGATAATGAGGGTTTTGTCGGGATGATTTCTCATGAGACTTTCTGACTGACACGGAAGGCAGTTACAGCTGAGTTATCCAGGGATCAGGACGCAGGGCACAGAGGGAAGCTTCTGAGACCCCAGAGACCATGCCTCTATGTGTATGGAACTAACGACCTGGCTTCCCAGCCCAAGGAAGATTAAGATAGCAAATTGAGTATGATTCTCAGAGTTGAGGAGGTGTGGTTTGAGGTACAGCCTAATGAGGAAGAGAGGAAAAAACATAGAATTTAAACATAAGAACTCAAAGTTGGGGAGAATTTCTCTGAGTAGCTAAGGTCAGAAAGCCTAGGAACTCCCTACTACATCACCTTGTGACTGAACACAGTATTGTAAACAGTGACCCTACATCCCTAAGAAAAAATAAAGTTATGGACCAGCCTGCTCTATAATGAAGTTAGAAAATGTATCATTTCCATCCAAAATCATGGCAAATAAAGTTTTTGGTCCTTAAAGTTAACTGTTTGGATAGTAAGCCTTCCACATTCATTGCTTCATTTTAAAAATTCCATTTAAAAAGTTCGGTCATCTTTCTTAGGCATGTCACATTCTCCAGGACTCCTCAAAGCAGTGGGGCTGAGGCACACCTGTTTAAATTGAGTACATGTGTAGTTTTGTTTGGATTACCAGCCAAAACAGAGGAGACTCACTTTTTTGGGGAGTGGTCACCATTTAATCACTGATGCGTGGCAAGCCTTCCCCAGTCTCTTGGTCTGACTTAACCTTCTTTAACCATCAATGGTTAGGGCCGAGTGGTTTTCCCAGTTTGCAGCCTGAACATTTGACTTTGTATTTGGAAAAGTCATTACTTCCTCCCAACCCATCTCCATCCCTAGGAAATAACCAAAACTAGGTAATAACCATAGTACAGTATTGCTTTGTACCCTAAGTCTTATGTTTTGCATCTATGGTTTTCATTCTTTTATAATTCTTCTTCCTGCCTTTTCTCTTGTCCTTTCTATAGTCCATGGCACTAAATGGTTTCTGTTCCATGATGATTTAAGGACCGGTTGCCAGGCAGTTGCCTTGTTAAATAGCTGGGCATTATCTTGCCTAGAGATAATTTATTACTTTTTTTGTATGTCCCTTGAATTCCAGGCAAATGAACTATCCTCTGTATGTGCATGGAGTGTAGAAAGGGGTATTTAAACATTGTTGACTGTGTAAACCACCCCATCTAGATCTAGAAACCTTGTATTCCAGGCAGGATAAAATCTGGTTTGCCTTTGGTGGATCTCTTGGGGACTAAAAAATAGGTGTTGGATTTTTAGCAAGCTGGTGTCCTAGGGTAAAGAGGATTAACAGTTTTGGTTATGAGAAGTGAGACTCTATGGCAGAGTTCACTTTATTCATTCTTCCCTTTTTCTCCATGATTAAAGGTATAGTTGTTGGCTGGTTGAGTCAGGGCACTAGGAGTGCATGGTGTTTATAAGTTCCCACTGTATGCTCTCTAAGGAGTTGATTGTATATATAGTTGACTTTTTTTACGCACAGTTTCCCATCTTCCCCTCTCAGTAATTTGCAGCAACCACTGCACATCTGTGAGGCGGATAATCTATCATCTTTGGAAAGAAATATAGGACTCAGGCAACTTTTTTTTTTTTGTATGGAATAGTTGCATTCCCAAAGTTGCCTATATGATTTTCAAAAGCAAATACAATTATTTCTCTGTGCCAGCGGACTTTGTTTCTCTGGGATTTTTTTCAACTCTGTGGGTTCCCACCTTCTCTCATCTTACATTTATAAGACTTTCATGGAACTAGGGGGGTGATCTGTCCTTTTATCCCACAGTCGCAGAATCTGGAGTTTAACTCCCCAACTTTGACCTGACACCTGTGCTTAAGAGCGCCAGCCTGCGGGGCTGGATTGCTGTATTTTGATGATAGCAAATTCTATTGTTTTATCATGATGCCAACCGGAAGGTGCCTAAAATTGGAATTGTCAGTGTTAGGTATTAATGTTGGAGTTGAGACATTCTTTGGTCTTAGGGATGGGTGGTTAGGAATGCCTGAATTTTTTTTCACTAGATCACAGTTATGTCCTTCTACCAGTGCCTGTGTTCACTGAATGAAGAGAGAGTAGATTCCGTCCTTGGGCTTGTCTGTGAGCTGACCAGGACTGTCCCTTGTGGGAGAAGGCATTGGTGCTCACTGCTTTAGCAGAGGGGAGGACAGAGGACAGAGCCACGGTCTCCATCACCAGCAAGTGCTTTGGGACTCTTCCTTGGGAAGGAGAGAGGGAAAGGTGGGGGTGAGTGTGGAGTGCTTCTTTACATGCAGATGCTTTATCCTCAGACCCCTCATGTAAATTACTGCCCTGTTTATTCAACCTCCAGTGTTGAAGAATCATTAGATAAAACACCACGCTTAAGAAATAGGCCTGTGTAATATCAGTTTGAGGAAAAGTAATCATTCGTCTCCTTGTGCACGCGTAGGGTTAAGTATATTTGAAATAAAATTGAAATGGACATTAGTACTCTGTTAGTAGTACTACTCAAAATCAAGCAGTTGATGGCTTCATGGTGTCAGTGGAAGTTATCTTGGTTAATTTTACTGTGAAACAGTTCTGTTTCCTACATTAGGATAAACTATTGGGTTTTGAGTTTTGTACTTTTATTTGCTTAGGAACTGAGTAATTGCCTCATAAAACAGCATGATGGTACTGTTAACACTGAATTATAAGACTTGTTATTATAGAATGTGCTTCCCTAGTTGGGACATGACTTTGTTGTTTGGTACTTAAAATAATTAGTTTTTCCAAATGGGGTTATAATGAATAGTGTAAAATTTTACCTATTTAAAATAAAAAATTTATAATCTCTTGGGTGGCTTGTATGCATCATTTGATACTTCCAGGGAAGGAGTTTCTTTTGGGTGGGCTTGAGGGGAGGGAAATATATTTAATGTTCAGAATGGAGATTTTAAGAAATATTTCTGTCACACTTGAGACAAATTAGAGATAGTCATTAAAGGACTTGACCTGCTATTTTGCCTGATTTGGATATTGAGTATTAAAGGATTCATTTCCCAAAAGTCTTGAATTTGAACTTTTTGAGAACTTTATTATAAATAAGAAAAAATTTAAAATGGACTATATGGCAGTTTATTTCTGAACTGATTTAAAATAGCGTATGCATGTGTGTATTTGTTTATTCTCCTTTGTCAATGCTATTAAACTTTTTGTGGCAAAAATTTTAGACATAAGTGAAGGATGGGTAAATACTTCTTAAAGAATACATATAATCTTAAATAGGAATTTATTGTGTTCCTGCTGTTTTTTGAAAAGCTAGATAGTAGTGGCAGGTACCATTATGGAATGAAAGTGGGCTTTGTGTTGTTTTGAATTCCTACATGAAAATCATTTATTCTGTGGAAACCTTGAAATGTGGGTTTAAGCCTTATTCTGTACAAGGTACTGTAGGTACTGTTAGGTACAGGAAAGTTAAAGATAGGCACAAGTAATAAAGCTGTAAATAGGCAACAGGATAAATCCAGTTCAAGGAGATGATGGGAGAGAGAGAATTAGAACTTGATTAATTACTGAGTTAATAGCAAGGTCAGAAATTGCAACAAGTGCAGTGTAGGTGGTTAACCTTTGCTTGGAGTAACTGCTTATGGACAGTATTTTGATCCTAATGAAAAAAAAAACTTTTCTTAGAAGTCATTCTCTTTGGCTTCATTTTTTTGTAATTACCTTAGAGATAGCATGATAAATGTTCATTTGACACTTCTATCTTCTCAAATTATCTCATTTTATTCTGAGGAAGATCTCTGGATTTAGGGGACTTAATATTATTCATAAATTTCTAAATAACAAGGCTGAGGAACTGGAGGTTGTGTTTGCTTGACTGCTTAGAGACTCAGGTCTGTGGTCTCCCATTTCAAGCTGTTTTTCTTGGGTTTTGCTGTCTGTGCTTAGCTGTTCAGTTGTGTCTGACTCTTTGCAGCCCCATGAACTGTAGTCCACCAGGCTCCTCTGTCCATGGAATTCTCCAGGCAAAAATATTGGAGTGGGTTGCCATTCCCTTCTCTAGGGGATCTTCCCAACCCAGGGATTGAACCTAGGTCCCCTCATGGCGGCAGGATTCTTTAACAATTGAGCTACCTGGGAAGCCACCCTGGGTTTTGCTTCACCCCTGCTAAATCCAACACCATTTGGAAGAATTTGAGTTTTCAGCTGACCGCATGATGGTGCACTTAAATGGCTGACTTGTTACAGGTGAATTTTTGCAGTCTTGAGTTCTTTTTACAAATGGTGATTTTCTTGCAGGAAGCCAGTTGAGGGAGATTCTCCATGAATGTACGTCACAATGATGATGACCGACCAGATCCCTCTGGAACTGCCACCGTTGCTGAACGGAGAGGTTGCCATGATGCCTCACTTGGTGAATGGAGATGCGGCTCAGCAGGTGGGTGCAGTAAGAGAGGATTTAAGTTGTCCACGTGGGAAACATTAGCCCAGAAATGGTTTTATTTTGAGACTCAAAGATCTCTGATCTTGAACCGTTGTCATTCTCTAGAGGTCGTTTCCATTGTAGAATCACTATATGATTTTTTAAAATACCAGAAGTTGTAGTTTTTGAGAACAGCAAACTTTACCTAATCTAGCTGGTATTCTTGACGCATCAAAAACAAGTGACTTTTGAAATGAATCATTTTGAAAATATGTACAAGTTTTTGGAATAAAGTTGTGTTTACTCATGTCGTGTATTGTGTTTGACGGATTTTTCCAGATTGGCCAGAGCAGGATGGCCTGAGCAGGATGCCCAGAGGTTGAGTCAGGTTTTGATCTCATGCAGGAGGTGACTGACCCCGACAAGACACACAGGTGTATGTGAACCCGCTCTGGCTCCTGGAGCAGTCCTTCCAAGTCCTGGCTCCAGAGCAGCAAGTCTGCTGCTGTGAAAATGATAGCCCTTGTTTTCTGTAAAACTCCTTTCTTTGTCACTAGGTACTTAACATTGCAGAGTAGAAAAGTTATTCCTGAGCTCATTCCTGTAGCACTTGGGAAAAAATTTAAACGGTAAGTAAAATTTCAAAAATTATTAGGGACAGATATTGTCTCTGATAACATTACTTAAATTTTTTCTCAGCTCTCCAAGTTCACCATCTGATCAGGGCCAAGGTCTGTGAGCTGCTTATGGGCTGGGAAGTGCAGCTTTCTCTGCATTCTGCCTGCTAGGTCCCGGCTTTGCAGGCTCTCCCCTTTAGCACCCCCTGGTCCTGCCTGGCAGGGAGCTTCCTAGTGCACGGAAACTCTTCCTCCTTCACCATGCCTTCCCTTCCTCAGGGCACAAGCTCCCCTCCACAAGTTCTGTGTTGTCTCTTCCCTTTTTATGTCTTTATCTTAGTCCTACCTCATTCCAGGGAGCTTAGCCTGTGCCCCTGGAGGCCTGGGATCTTTTGCTGTCACCTAGAGGTTGCTTTGTAGGAGTGGTTCCATATCTTGATGAGTTTTTCTTTTTTTTTTTCTTTACAAGTTTTTGATATATTTGTGGAGAGGCTGGTGATCTCCCTCATCTCCCTGTCTTACTTCTCCGCCATCTTCTTCCACTCCTGAGTATTTTAATTGACTACTAAAACTGGTTCAGTCAGTCTGGTACTAAATAAATGCCACTTTTTATATTTGTATAGTTCTTTAGAAGCATTAAAGTAGGAGTCTTTGTTTTATTGAAAGTAGAATTGGGAACGATTGCTTGGAAAATATTTATGCAAAATATATCAATAATTCAGATAAGTTAATTGGCCATTTGATGTCAGTACGCTTCTGCCTGCCACTCCCCCCCACCTCGTCTGTCATAGTACATTAACACTCTATCCAGCATAGTACATTAATACTTGTATATACCTCTGATGGGTCTTGCTTTGCTGTTTAATGATTTATATATATTACTTTCTCCTGTACTAGATGGTGAACTTCTTAAGAGCAAAGAATGTCTAACAGGTGCTCAATAAATGTCAGTTGAATAAATTTCTTCCTGTCTTGCCACGGATGGAAGTACCTCCTTTCCTGACTCCTGATTCTCTCTCTCGGCTCATTTCCACCAATCTACTGTTATATCTGTTATCTTAAACACACAAATAGCTATCCCTCTGGCCCACCTAACAAAAACAAACCCCACTCCTTGACTCCACATCCCCCCCCCCTGCCCCCAGTTATATCTCATATCTCTGCTCCAACAGTTCTTCTCTAAATAGAGCCTCTGCTTCCTTGCCTCTATCGCTCTTCATCTCCAGAGTCTGCACTTGTTGCTTCTCATCTCTGTATTCTAGCCTATCAGCGAGTCCTGTTGGCCTTATCTCAGGAACATTGCTGAAACCATATTTTGCCACATCTGCTTCATTTCTGTGGCTGTTCTAGACTCTGAGCCGTCATTGCTCTCCAGGGGTAGGACAGTTTTTCTCAACTGGTCTTGCTGCTTTTACTTTTGCCCTACCAGAAAACATCTGCCACACATCAGTCTGCTAAAACTCTAAAAATGTACTGTGTCACTGCCCTGCTCACCTGAGAGAAAAGCTGAGTGCAGTCCTGCAGCTGGTCAGCCTCCTGTGAGTCGTGCTTGCCTCTCCCCCTCATCCTCCCGCTGCTCTGCTCCGGCCACTCATGGGAAGGTCTCAAAATGCCATGAATAGTTTCGAGGTGCATGTGGTGTATGGTTTCGTTTCTTTGCACTAATTAAAGTGATTAAAAAAAGGGCTAGTTGGGACTTACCTGGTGGTTCATGGTTAAGTCCCGGCGCTTCTATTGCTATGGGCGCTGGTTCAATCAGTGGTTGGGGAAGCAAGATCCCACTAAGATCCGCCCCCCAAAAATAGGGGGAGGTGGGCCAAGGTATTCAAAGTGACTAAACTTGAAAAGCAACTCCAGTCTCTCAGGTGTCTCGATTCCATTTTGCGTATGTACCTGGGAGACCTGAGACCACCCATCTGTGTAGCTGTGCACCATTTTTGTGTTTTGATGATTTCTCCCTTGTTTCTATAATTCATCTTGTATAGAGTAGTGGTTTGTAGTTTATAAGCCAGCATACAGAACCCTTAGAATTTTCCAGTTTTCCCTTCAGAAGTAAACTCCTTCCTTCCAAAAATGACCAAAGACTAAAAAGGCTAGACTTCGTTGGAAGGCCTTGTTGTATTCTCTACTCCAAATATCCACCTCATCTCTTAAGTGCAACTGTGTAATAATATAAGTTAATAAGATCATGTTTTGATTTCACCTGAGAAGCTTTCTATAAAGCGAAGAAATGGGAAAACTTGTTAATCTGTTTTATACACAGTCACAAACATCAAGCTTTGTCAGGCCAGGGTACACTCACTGTAAACAAATCTCATTGGAAGGAAATGTTTGTCTAATTTGCAAATATATCTGATTGTGCTAGAAACATTGACGTTTAGGCATTTAGGTTATGTGGGCCAAGCTGTTGACTGATATTACCCCTAAATTTCCCTTAATGGGGAACAGCTGTTAATTGGGCAGACTGTGTTTGAAATATTCCTCTCAGTAGGAACAGCCTGAGGTTTATCACGCCTTGATGTTGCCTCCGTGTCACTGGCTCAGCCGAGACAGTGGCCTGCGTGCCTCTTTTTTGCCTCTTTCTGTCCCCAGAGCCCCATTCTGTGTTCCTCATTCCCGCAAGGCTTCACTCTTTCCTTGAGTCCTAATGTTTAATTGTGTCAGAGTTAACTGTGGTGGTCCTGTGTGTGGAACCTGGGCTAAGGCGCAAGGGGAAGGCGGATCCAAGGAACAAGCAAAACCAAAAGTGATGGAGGAATACCCGAGAGGAGGTAGGGGAGAGGGAGAGCGAGGGGGTCACCGCAGAGAACAGGGCCCAAAAGTGAGGATCCAGGAGTCAGAAACTGCCAGAGATTTGAGTTCTTGCCTGGGGCGCCTGCTGGTGTTTGCTGTTTGGATGTGCGTACGATGCTCGGATGGGTTTGTATGAAAGGATCAGGACGCAGGGGACACACCAGAGGGAAAAGTCTGTACAGTGTTTCCTGAGACTTTAACTGTGTTGTCGCTTGAGGCCAGTACTTTTTAACAAGGACCATGTGGAGGCACCAGGCTGACTGTAGTGACAGACCTTGCAGATGCTGTCCCGTCAGACCCGTGGGGTGAGAGACGCTGGAGCCGCTTCTCACACTATACCGTCCTGAAGAGCTGCCTGCTGGCCACGGGTTCTCCCTCTCCATTTCTGTTAGGAGTGTATCTAGCGAAGCTTACCTTGTATGTGTTTACAATGTTCTTAATACTTTGCAGCTGTGCTGAAGACACTTTAAACATTTCTATATATGCAAAAGAACCACCACGGTTATGAGAAAGCTCTCCAGTCTCCTCAACCCCCCCCCCCGATTTCTGTCCTGTTGGTTTCTGGATTTAATTAAGATGAGTTCTTGGCAAGATTCTCTGCTCTGTTCTGGCTCTAACCAAGAAAGACTGTTAATTTTCATTATCAGAAGTCATGTTAAGGTTGAAACCTAGGTCTGTCATTTTGTGTAAGTAGCAGGAAAAGGATGATTCTTTTCTTAAAATGAAAAGCCAGCCTCATTATGAATGAAGATTTAAAGTATATCATCAACTAAGGAAATGAGCAAGAATAACAGTAACAAATACACAAGGTGGGTAGAAAGAACTTATTTAATAGCTCTACTGAGATATAATCCACATGCCATGTGAAGTGAAGTGAAAGTCGCTCAGTCATGTCCGATTCTTTGCGACCCCACCAGGCTCTTCTGTCCGTGGAGCTCTCCAGGCAAGAATATTGGAGCGGGTAGCCGTTTCCTTCTTTAGGGGATCTTCCCAACCTAGGGAAAGAACCCAGGTCTCCTGCATTGCAGGCAGATTCTTTACCATCTGAGCCCCCAGGGAATTATAATCCACATGCCATAATTCACTTACTTAATATATACAGTCGATGAAATTGATTATGTTCACTGAATTGTGCAACCATGACTACCATTGATCTCAGATCATTTTTATCACCCTAGAAGGAAACCCTGTAGCAGCTGCTCTCCATTCCCTTCTCTCCCTTATTCCTAGGCAGGCACTCATCTACTTTCTGTCTCTGTAGGTAATTTGCCCACTCAACATTTCATATAAATGAAATGATACAATATGTGATCTTTTATGTCTGGCTTCTCTCATTAGCATAATGTTTTAGAGGCTTGGCCATGTTGTAGCGTGTATCACTATAGACATATCTTGGAGATATTGTGAGTTTCAGTTCCAAACAACTGCAATAAAGCCAGTGTTGCAATAAAGCAAGTCATATGAATTTTTTGGTTTCTTGGTGCATGTAAACATTCTGTTTACACTATACCGTGTAGACTTTTAACTGTGCATGTCTAAAAAAAGTACATACCTTACTTTAAAAATATTTTGTTGCTAAAAAATGCTAACCATCAGAGCCTTCAG